TATTCCCAGTACAAGAGTCTGCTAGTCCTCTCCGGAGCTGTTGCTTTATTTATTTGGGAATAAGTCCCAGTGAGTTTAGTGGGATTTGTTCCTGAGTAAACATACAGGATTGTAGTATTAAAAGCACCAATTTCAGCATGACGAAACCTGATATACCCTTCTTATACAATTAATGTACACTTTATTTAATCATTTAGTTCATTTACATCTCTGAAATTCACCCTTCCTCTTAATCTCCCTTTTGCAGTTAGTTCTCAACTTACAACCACAATTGAGCCCAAAATTGATGTTGCTTAGTAAAAAAAAATCTAAGTGAGTCTTGCCCCATTTTAGGACTTTTCTTGCCACATTTGTTAGGTGAATCACTGCAGTTGTTAAATGAGTAACACGATTGTTAAGTGAATCTGGCTTCCCCATTGACTTTGCTTGTCAGAAGGTTGCAGAAGGTGATCACATGACCCCAGGACACTGCAAGTGTCATAAATGTGATTCAGTTGTCAAACATCCAAATGTAAATCTATCTAAAGATAGTTTTCTATTTAAGATACAGTAATAATTTTGTTTATTCAGCATGAAGTGGAGCATAGTTATATAGCATGAGGTTGTATATTCTGCAATATTGAGACTTTTGGTGAGTCAACAGCAGGTCAGAGGAGGAGCTGCTGCGGGACAGAGAGCTGCTCTTTAAAAATTATGATTTAAATTGAGTTGATTTAAATCAAGCCTTTTTACTAGTGATTTAAATCATGATTTAAATAGTGATTTAAATCGACTTGATTTAAATCAAATCTACCCTGTCTCTTTCATTCCCAATATTCAGTTTAAAATTATATAATAGTGTGATTTCTCTTTACATTCATTTGACTTTTAAGAAAAAGAGAAAAGCTAAAAATCTGAAATAAAATATATTTCACTTAAATAAAAAGAAACAAATAGCAAGAACTAAAAAAAAAACCTTCCTTACTGAAGACACTCAGGTATTAGCCAGAAATTCTGGATTTATTAAATTTCCTGCAATATTACACACTAGAAGCAGCAGAACTATTCAAACCAGCACTAAACAACAACAAAAACTTGTAATGCTTGTTTGGGGGCTGGCAAATAATCAGGAGAAATTAAAAAAATAAAACGTAGGAATACTGAGCTTCGCATAGTTTTGAAGTTAAATAGTCAAATTTTCATTCAAGCACTTTATTGAATAAAGTCTCTTGTTTTACAGGATCATTTTTAGCTTTCTATAGTTGCATTCTCCAATTCAATACTCTATATTTCCACATTTTTCCAATTATTATTTTTCCAATTATTATTCTTCCTTGTGGCACCTGGGAAGTATTATTTCTATGTCTTCCTGCCAGTAGGTAGCTCAGAAGGCACCACCGGCTTTTCTAACACAGGGGGGAATATATCTATTAAAATTGTTCAATTAAATTATAACTGTTACTGATTTTTTTTTCTGCTTGATGTCCAAATATTAACACAGTAAGGAGGTATATGACCCCAAACTTCCAAACTAAATGTGTTTTGGTTCAGACATGCATTTTTTGGGAGGATGTGGTACAATGCACTGAAGTGTTCATGCCTGAATACCTTGGATATCCTTAGTGGTGCACACACACACACCTCTGGGATACTAGATAATATTCAATGATATTATGGTATAATAATATACTATATAGGTAATATTCAATGATAATATTCAAGATATTGGTGCAGAACTGCTAGCTCATGTCGAATAAATATAGACTCCCATTTGCTGCTCATTTAGTAAGTTACCTGTTTGATGCATGAAATTTTAGGAAAAGTCCTAGCAATCTGATCAGTTGTTTGGAGCCCATATTTAATTTAGTGGTAAAGGCACCAGGCTACAAAACAGGAGAATGTGTGTTCTATTTCCATCATAGGCAGGAAAGCCAGCTGGGTGACTTTGGGCCAGTCCCTCATTTTCAGTCCAATTCACCTCATAGGATTATTGTAGTAGAGAAAATAGGAGAAGGAATAAGCATTACGTATGTTTGCTGCTTTGAATTGTTTATAAAAACAATAAAGGTGGGATAAAAAAAATAACTAACCTCTTAACAATCTAAGTCATTTTTTACGGTAGAAAAACAAAAAGAATAGCAGAACAATGCATTTTTATTGGTAGCTAGAAACTATCTGGAATAATTCTGGGAATGTAAACCCCTCCATAGAAATATTTCTTCACTCAGGAAGCCTACCCGAAGTTTTTTGGACAGGTCATGATTTTTAAGCTTAATCTGCCTCTTCTGATAAGATTAATTTTATCTTTGCTTAGCCTCTATGTAAACAAGCTCCATCACATGAAATGTCACAGAAAAGCCACCTCGTTTTTCTAGCTGGTGTTATATTGAGTTGTGACACAGATCTGCTTTGAAAATAACACAGATGTGCAGTCTCTGATTTCACAGTTCTACATACCTTTTTCCCCCTTTTAAAATGCAGATACAGCTAGTAATCTTGGGCATGTGCTTTCAGGAAATCTTAACTTGTAAAACAGGAAGGTTTTTTAAAAAAAACTTTAAACACAAAGGACCTTGTCCCTTTGAGAGTTTGAAAAGAAAATGATGTTAACAGAATAAAGTATTCAGCCCTGTTAGACAGCAAATCTATGGGTTATTTTTAAGCTAATTACTCAGAATTAAACAAAGGCTTAATGCCTTTTCCCTGAACAGGAGCTGAGGTCAAATTAAATGAAGCTGAGACGTTGTTTTTGTTGAACATTCAGGCTTAAACACATCACATTTGGCAGGGTTGGAACTGTGCCTATGGTACCAAAGTTGTACTAAGCAACAGTGATGTGTTTGATTTTCCAAAACACTTGCTTGTGGCTGAGATAAAATGCAGATGCAAAAAAGACTACTTATGCTCTGTTTCCACCAGTCTTCAGGAGTTCTTAGCACTTCTGTATAGATGGAAGACAACTATTTAGTAGTAATCCTGGACTTTATCAGCAAATGAGCGATGAAACTTAAAGAAAACCATGCATATTAATCCCACTATAAAGAGTTAGCATGAGCAAACACAGTGTACGTTCTGGGAGAGACTAAAAGGAAGACAGATGTTTTGCAATGTCAGATGTTTGATAAAGTGATCTAAAGCATTCTGTATTCGATATTGCTTCTTATAAGAAATACTTCTCTCTCTCTCTCTGCCTCCCTCCCTCTCTCCCCCCCTCTGTAGATATAGAGGAGATGTATGCTTACATTTAGATATAGATACAGATGTAGATAACCAGTGTTTAGAATATGCTTGAGCTTTCACAAGAGTCAAAGTCAGAAGAAATATTAAGCCATATTTGATAAATGATTACTAGAGCATTTGTAAACATAATAAAGATAGTCCCCGACTTATGACCATAATTGAGCACCACATTTCTCTTGGTAAGTATGGTAGAACATTTGTTTGCTCCATTTTATGACTTGCCGCAGTTGTTAACTGAATCACTGCAGTTATTAAGATGGTAAGTTGTTAGGTGAATGTGGCTTCCCCATTGATTTTGCTTATAAGAAGGTTGAAATAGGCGATCACACGACCCCAGGACACTGCAAGTGTCATAAATAGGAGACATTTGCCAAGTTGCCAAGCATCTGAATTTTGATCATGTGACTATGGGGGTGCTGAACCGATTGTAAGTGTGAAAAACGGTCACTTTTTTCAATACCGTTGTAACTTTGAACAGTCACTAAATGAACTATTGTAAGTTGAGGACTACCTGTATATGAACTTGTTTAATATTTAAATGAAATGACTAATTCTGATCCTGCTAAAAGTAAATAATTTGAATTTATTTCTGAAAAGAAGTTAGAAAATTGTAATTGAAGGATGTTTATTATTAATTGTTATTAGTTAACTCATCTAGGGAATTTGGAAGGCTGAAGGTGGGTCCGAACCCAGCTCTTCTCATTCCTAGTTTGAAATCTTAAATACTACACCATACTGATTCATTTTGAAATGAAGAGCTTGTAAAGGAAAATGCAGAGTGATCCTTACGTATTGTGTATTAAGAGTATGTTGAAGATAGCTTTTTTCCCCTATTCTTTTATCGGTTTTGCACAATTTTTATTTCATTCTTTGAAATTCTGTACAGTTCATTTGCAGGACTGTCCCAAAAAGTCACATCAAAGCATGTCTCAGTTTTGTAGCAAAGTAGAGTTGTCACGTAGTAGCCAGTTGAGAAAAATAGCGTGATTTCTGTAATGGCACCTGATGTCTGTGCCGGGTTTGTTCTTTTGTTTTGAAACAAGAACAATGGTGCAAGAATCAGAAGTTCTATTGCAAGTTGAGGGTTGATTTGTGAGTGTGTCTTTGGCTGATTTCCCAGCTTTACCCTCTTGATTGAATTGTCTTGTATATGTGGTCATGTAGGTTTGAACTTTAACTTTATCAGTACACTTTGCCGGAATATCTGGAATAGGAATAGAATGTGAATGAAAATTGTATAGCCATGACTGTGAAAATAGCTATAATAACTTTAAGCAGGAATGTGCCCCTTTCCTTATCCCTCTTGTACTCCAAATTATCTTAAACATAGCTGGCCTTTAATATCTGAAAGTTGCTTTTCCTGATTGTTAATTAGTCTATCTCTTTAAACTATAGGGGAAAGTTATTTTGATAACACTGTGGGCATAAAATATAGACTTCCTGATTGAGTAAGTCAGTGCAATCTTACAGCATTATCATAAACTCTTTTCGGTTCCTGTTTTCAGTATCATGATCACAGTATCCTGTGAAAATTAATTCCTTTCTTTTAATGTATGTAATTTCTTTTAATGTATGCAGTGATAATAAAGCAATACTGTTTATAATATAAGATTTCATGTACATGCGAGTTATAATACCTGTGCCTTGAATGCTGGGCTCCCAGGTTTTTTTTTTTTCCTTATCCAGATCATTATTTTGTCCTTGTTTTTTAATTTTCCTTGAGAAGTGTCTTTGTAAACATACAGTATCTTCATATTAATTTTTGTATGTGTACTCTACAGGTAAAAAACCATATCTCTGCAATTTTTCTGCTGAAGATGCATCTGGGACAGCCCTACAGCTCAATCAGGAAAGAAACAATAGAGAAAAAAATGCTGTGAAATCTAAACCTGAAGTGCTAAAGGTGGCATCTATACCCCACGACAAGATCAAAGAACCATTTCCAAAATACGTGGATTGCAAAATTTACCCTGATTCAAAGATGTCAGCATTTCAGCAAAGTTGTGATTTTCCTTGTTCCAGTAAGACTGCTGATGTGAGACTGAATTTGCAAAGCCCCTTGGAAATTCAACAGAAGCTCGCTAAAGAGATCCTTGTAGAGATGAATGAACATTCTGTGCTCAATAAAGATACAGAGATGTCTGAAAAGACTGCATTAGATCTTAGTGAGAAATCAACTAGGGCTGATTCAAGTTTTACCTCAACCTTGCAGGCTGCTCTGATTGTCCACCGATGTCCTTACTGCAGTCATAAAACTTACTATCCAGAAGTCCTGTGGATGCACAAAAGAATTTGGCACAAAGTTAGTTGTAATTCTATGGCTCCTGCTTGGGTTCTTCAAAATGGATTCAAGAGTATAAAACATAATTCTGTTTTTATGGCAAGAAGTGGGCGCACTGGACCACCTCCTGTACTTGGTGGGAAAGAATGCCAACCTTTGCCTATAGCCAGATTTACACGTACTCAGGTGCCGAGTGGGTTGTCAGGATCCAAAAATAATAATTATTCTGATATTGCTGTATCTCCTAAGCCCGGGGCTATGGCAAAAGATGTACCATCCACTGGGGGCTGTGGTCCGCAACCATCAGCTATTGATGGATATAGACCACCCAAACTTAACCACACTCACGAACAATATGGTACTGTAGCCCAGCAGCCCCAGTTAAAATCAAAATTGGATGTGAACTCCAAATTGATGCAAACGGGAAACTTTAGCAGAAATTCAACGCCTTCCCATACAGTGATATCTAAACCTAGCGGACATCCCTCCAGTAGCAGAGAAACAGAAAAATACATAGTCCCTCAAGTAAATGCTGGATCTGCTCCTTTAATCAAGCATTGTACTCCAGATACAGGGAAGGCCAAATTTTTATCTCCATCTCAGTACCACCCTCTGTGTAAAACTGAGCCATGCGTTACTCAAGAACCTCCATCAATGCCTCAGCAAGAACGTACCGCCAAGAGGGAAAGTGAAATGAGAGCATTGATCAATTGTACTGGAGGATCCAGAGCAAGTCCTTTGATGCAACCTCAGCCTGTTGCAGCAGGACCTCCTCCACCTGTACATTCCACCAAACAGGAGCCATCCCCTGAGGGGCATGAGAAATGTTTGGATATTGTAAACATCTTAAAGACCTCCATTCCAAAGGATCTGGCTACTTTCTACCAAACCTGGGGTGCCAATAGCCCCGTAATGGACCGTGCTGGTAAGAATCCTAAGAACTGTCTTTCCAGCATATTTTTAAATTCTTAATTTTATTTTCCCCCTTAACATAAGGAATTCCACAAAACACTCGTGTTGTTACTGTCTGTGTTTGACAAGGTTATCTCTCCTATTTAACTGTCCTGTCCTGCATCAGATCATTTAGGTCAGGGGTCCCCAACCACCGGTCCGTGGACCGGTACTGGTCCGTGGAACAAGTCCTACCGGGCCGCTGGTTTGCTGGGCGCCGCCATCTTTTTTTGATGAAAAAGTGCTTCCGGTGAGCTTTTCCGGGTAGAAAGCTCACCGGAAGCACTTTTTCATCAAAAAAAGATGGCAGCGCCCAGCTAATGCCGGTACCGGGCCGCGCCATAAAAAAGGTTGGGGATACCGGGCCGCGGCATAAGAAAGGTTGGGGATCACTGATTTAGGTGGCTTACCTGGGAATAACACTGCTGTTGAATTTAATGACATTTCCTTCTGAAGGAAGATATGTAAGGTCTCACTGCTAGAATTCTATCTGCAATTAAGTGCTGGATTCAGTCCCTTAAAAAAAGGGGGGGGAATGTTTGAAGTGGCTTGAGAGAATTCCCTCTACATGAAATGTCCAAGCAGAAGATACAGTATCAGATTTGTATCCAATCTAAAATAGGGGGCAGGAATTTACTTTGTGTGAGAAATGATTATTTCAAGAAAATTATGACTTTATTGAACATTTCAAGTGCAAGGGATTTTCATAATTCACTGTCAGATCTCTGCTTTTGGAGATAAAACTGATGATAAAACATTGAAGGGAAGAGAAAAGAAATAATAAAAAGAACAATTCAGTATTAGGACAAAATATTGTTGGCTAGGTTTGAAGCTTGTTGGATTTTCAGACTCGGGTTTAGCTGCTAGAATCAGAATATTAACGTCTTAATTTGCAAAGTTCCCTTTCTGTGCAATGGATTTGAGCAGAAATCTTGGGAACTGGATAATTCAGATTGACTTGAAGGATATTTGACTCTGCTTATCTCAGTCCTACCAACCGTGTAACATTATTCTTTATTTCAAATAGTTGTGAATTGAAAAGTAGATCTTTTATGGCAAGCAAAAAAAATATATAGCAGTATTTTCAGTCATAATGGCAACTATCATTTTAATACTTAAAATGGGAATTTATTAATGTATACAGTACTTATTAAACATGCTGAGCCTTTATGCTTTATGATAGCAATAATGAAAGAGTGCTCCTGAGCATATGCAGAGCTCTATTTCCACAGTCAGGTTACCAGAATTTTTATAGCCAAAACCTAGGATTAGCAATAAATAGTGAGCTCCCACAAGAGCAAGCAAAGGAGATCCTAATTCTGGAGAAGATTTTGAATTTAGGCTTAGCTGGAAATCTTGTTCAAATACAAAACTAAATATAGCATTCTCAGAATTTAAGATGAATTGATTTATCCACAAGATAGCATAAAAGAATGCAGCATTTGACACCAATGACTTGTCTTCCCTAAGTGATTTATTAAAATTTACTTTTTTCTTGTTTGCCCAGTGTAAATATTTTGTTGCTTATTCTCCTAGCCCCTTTCCTTATGAGCTAAATTAATAAAGATTTCATTACTAACCAGTTAGAAAGAATAAGACCCATTTTGGGAAAATTCCTTGCAAATGTGCACACATCTTAAAGATTTATATAGGCAGTTGTATACAATGTCCACTGAGCAAAAGGAAGTTACAGCACATTTGCCAAGATGTAAAACAAAGATATTTTGATGAGTTTTATCCATGACAGCTGTTGGTGAGAAAATATCCTTAAAATATGGCATAAACATTTGATTTGTAAAAGATACTCTAAAACTGTTAGCAATTATCTTGTAAAGAGCTGCCTGTAGGGCAATATCTAATAGGTTGCTAAGGGTAAGGAAGTTGAACTCAATAGAATTGTTACCTAAGCAAAAAGGCTTGAAATATTTTTAAGACCTGAGAAACAAGGTAATATTCAAAACAGCTTGGGCATACAAATCCCTAATTCACTGAACCATAAACTAGAGGAGAAACAGCATAATCAGACTTGGAAGATTATGTTCTTATAGCCAGTCTCAATACAAGTTAGTCTTCTTGTAGATTCTTGGTCTGTTTTACTTAGTGGGACCTGCACAAGTGCTCTAAGAAGTTGCAGTGAAAACGTATATCCATTATTTTGCTTATTGAAAAAGTTAAAAGGGCTCGTTCTTATAATGGGGCTACTACTAAACAAACGAAAAATTCATTTTTTAAAAATTCATTTTTGAACCCATATATGAACTAAAACTTAGTTCTTTTTCAAAATGCAATGTTTTTGGCTCTTTCCAGTACAAAAAACAGCCTTTACGGCATGTGTAAAGGCCATATACAAAGATTTAGGAAAATGCAAATGCATCCTAATAGACCAAAAAATATGTGCAGAATCTGAACATTAAGCAAACTTGGAAACAAAAACATGCTTATTTGGAAAACGACCAAAGAAAATACAAGAAAATAAGAATAAATTGAGTCAAGACAGGGATAAGATGAAAGAAAAAGAGAAAATCAGATTGAAAAATAATAAGAGAGAGAAACCATTGTGACAGATTTACTTATTGGTGACTACTATTTGGCTGTGCCTTTTTTTAAGTGATGAAGTAAAATCCACTTGCATTGGGATGAATCTGTTCTTTGGTTCTTCCCATGTCAACATTACTCCATTTCTGGAACAGCTAATGCTAGGATCAGGAACATTTTTCAGAAGATGATTCCCCCCCCCCCATATTAATTTTGGTAAGTAGGAAGCAATCACATGTTAGCCAATTCCCACATGAAAACATTAGAATGCCTTGACTTCAAGTCTTCCCAGATTATTTCAGCCATAATCCGTAGGCTGACTTTTGACTTTTTTCTTATGCTGCAGCCATAAGAAACTCTCAGATGCCAATAGTAATGCCATTATGCAACTTAGGACAGCTCTCATTAATAGAACACACTACATCGGTAACCTTGACTTAGAACAGTTCATTTAGTTCGGCAAAGTTACAATGGTACTGATCAACTTTGTCGACCTGACAAACAAAATCAATGGGGAAGCCAGATTGACTTAACAACCATGTTACTAATTTAACAACTGCAGTGATTCACTTAACAACTGTGGCAAGAAAAGTCATAAATTGGGACAAAATTCATTTAACAATTGTCTTGCTTAGCAACAGAACTTTTGGGCTCAATTGTAGTCGTAAGTCAAGGACTACCTGTAATTTCTTAGCATGAAAAAAGTTTGCTGAGAAACCAGGTAAGCAATTTAAGCCAAAGACTCAGGTTTTGTTTCTAAATTAGTCATGCTGTCCCAAGTACCATGCAGAAATAAACACGTGCCATTGATCTAGAAAAAAAATTGTGGATGCTATAACAATAAAAAAGCAAGAATTTACAAGGATACAAAGTAAGGAAAATATGTTGATTCATACATGTATAGACTAGGGTAAGAGCATAATTGTTAAACTAAAGTAGCATAGTAACTTCATCTTATGTTTTAAAAGAGCTTAATCACAAACAATTGAATATTTTCTACAGCACAATTGTATGGTGTTGTCAAATTCTCAAAGCACACTCATTGGGCATTGCTTTCTGAGAACACATTGGCTTTGTCAATCCTAGTAATAAACCTAGGAATTCAAAAATTTGTCTTTGTGTTACTTCACTTTTCATTTCCTTTTCTGGTCTGCATTGAATCCATGGCCAGTTCAGATCTGCTTGTACAACAGAAGCCACTATTTTGCTTTATCAAAAATTGCATTTAATACCTGGAAAACATCACTAATTATGTTCTCATTTAACCTTCACTCAAATTGGTCAGACTTTTAGATCTTAAGAGTTAGTTTATCTTTTTATTTGCAGATTTTCTTGTTCAACACTCTCCTCCTCCTGACCCTCTTTCTCCCTCTTTTCTTCTTTCTACATACATATGAACATACACTTAAGATCTTACTCATTTTTAATTTAAAATATTCAGTGTACTTCTCCTTTGCAATAGAACTTCATTGTTCCCAGTAGAGCATTCCCTTATGAATGCTTTAGCATTCAGTAGAATTGGGGCAAGTTTTGAGTTTTTGCTTTTACATTTTAAATTGTCCCTCTGTTCTCAAGAGATAAATGCACAATTTTGTTTCTTTCTGGCACCACAGCAATTTTCCAATCCCTTGGAGAAATAGTTACAAGTACCAACAGAATATCAGTGCAGGTTATTAGCATTTGTATTGTGTCGGGCATTCATAAGCTTTTTGCTTTCTTAAGAAAGTTGTTAAGAAAACAGCACCCCCACAAGACCAAGCCCAGCATTTCAGATTCTTCAGGGGCTATTTTTCTTATTTACTATAAGTGTTATTTACAGCTATCATTGTATTAAAAGTGACACAGGCAGCATGGCAATTATCCTTTCTAGTTTCACAGGAATTACTCTGATGAACATCTGAAATTTCTGTAAATAAAAGTGAATAATATTTATAGACACCTGCACCCTTCACTGATGGAGGCATTGTGATCAGTATAACAAGTTCTGCGTAAAGAGATATTCAAAACATTAATATTGATTATCTTAACATTGATCTTGGCTATTATCAGAATTTATCATCTAAGTATGCACTCTGCTTTGGACTGTTCAAATGCAACATCAATGAAGTTTTTTTTTTAAAAAAATCATAAACTGGCTGAATATGCTCACTTCAGTAGGCAGAATGACTGAATGTTTCTTTCTCTCTAACACACACAGGATTGATTGTATCAACACTAGCATTTTTTCCACCATGAATTAAATGCCATTGAATAATGGGAGGTATTCCTTTTGCAAACCAGTACAAACTTTATATATGTGGGGTTTTAGCCAGGAGTCCTTTCTGATCCTGTCATAAAAGCCATTTTGTCAAGAAAAGTAACTAATAGAATGCCAAATATGGGACATATTCAGTGGCTATTGTCTACCCTCCCCAATTACCTCATGTGAATTAATTCATACCTAATAGTGATCTCATGGTTTGGCGCTAATCATACACAGTTTCATGTATTTATAAAATATCCATGCAGCGGTGGTTTCTGAGCAACTGCCTTATGATGGCCCTTTCACATCAGCTTACTCACTGTGGCTCTAGATGTGGTTCTAGTCTTGTGTATAGGGTCTATGACAATTCACCATGTCCAACTTAACACGGCCAACTTGCTACAGGACAACCTGCCACGGCCTTCTCATCACAGGACAACTCACTGTGGGACAAGAGTTACATTAATATCAACAAAATGGTGGAATAGAATCATTAAAGGATGCCAAAGGAGGACAGAATGAAATGTGAATGGCAAAAATTAAAATAATTTTTATTTATTTTAAATAAATAAATAGAATTGTTAAATTGTCCTGCAACGTGTTTTGAGTTTGCCGTGGTCAGTTCTCCGCCAACTTGCCTGTGATGAGCTGGCTGCAGCGCGTTTGCCGCAGTAACTTGGCTGTGGCAAGTTGTCCCATTCCCCTGAGTATATACCCTCATTTTCAGGTCATAGAAGACAACTAGTTTTGCTGACCAACATCTACTGGATGGCTCTTGTATTTGAGGACATTTGAGCTGTATTGAGGCAGCTCTTTAGTCATTGAACTTCTTGCTGATACTGCAAATCTTCCAAAGAACCTGAGAGATTTCCAGAGCAGAGTTGAAAATCACATTTTTAAACATGTTCCTACTTTTATTTTTAGAGTCAGCAGTAGAATATTCTAAACGCATTTCTGGATCATATTCGCAAGGAGATTCCTGTATGGATTGTAGTTATCAACTTGATATTAAACTTCCTTTGCATTTTTCTACATGCATTTGTTTAATTACTTTAACATAAAGAATTAATGAATAAATATTTCCTTGGGACTATTTCCTCCGCAAATATCCATTAATGTTGTTGCTTTCCTTTAGAAGAGCTTGTTCTCTGATATAGATACTGTCTTTTTCATGGAAAAAATAGTCATTAAAATATCTATCATGTACAACTGCATTTCATCAGTTAATTTAAGAAGTAAGTTTATGACAAAACTGTTGCCCACAACATGACAGAAATTAGTATAACTGGTTCTTGCACAAAACCCTTTTTTTGGGCAGATTTGGCCTATTAGATGCTAACTATACAAAAGCTTTTGCATTGATACAAAAAAAATCCCTCAATTTGTATGATGACATGTTCTGCATCTTAATGATAATTTACATGGAATTTTTGGGGGGAGACAAGCAGTACAAAAAGATGTTAGTGTGCCTTAGGAACCAAATACAGTGTAACTGGAATAATCTCCACTGTGTTGAGAATGATCTATTTGGCCAGGGATGTCAAACTCATCCTGTGGGGTACTTAGATCTGGCCTGCGGGGCTGCCCTGGTAACAGTGAAGGACTGGCCCGCAGTGTCTCTGCCAGCGAAAACAGGCTCCCGATCTCTGTTTTTGGCTGGGATGGCCTCCTACAACCCTCTGCCAGCATAAATGGAGTGGGCCTCCTGAGCCACTGGCAGAGGGTTTCAGGAGGCTGTCCCAGCCAAAAACAGAGATTGAGAACCCATTTTCACTGGCAGAGCATTGGGACATTACAGGTGTCCCTGACACGAGTGACGTCAAGCTGGCCATACCCCCCTCCCTCCCCCAAGGTCAAATGCAACCCTTAATGAAATCGAGTTTGATACCCCTGATCTACGCTAAGGACCATCGTTACTAAGTCAGTGATTTGGTCAAGATAACTAAAAGGCCATAGATTGAAATGGCAAATGTGAATTTATTGCAATTATCAACAATTATATACATTTGGTCAACAATGAAGAAAACCAGAGACACGTAAAATGTATATATTTGAGTTTTTCAGCCATAGCTGAAAATGTGCCTAGTTTGATTGGATGAAATAAAGCAGGGACACTTCCAGACATGTCTCTAAAGTGTTTCTTGTAACTTTGCACATGCTGTATTTTGATGTCTGCTGCAGTAGAACTCGTCTCTAAAAACCTGTTGATGTAATTTGAAGTACTGATGCAACATGCAATGCATTCCACCTTAGTCAACATTTAAAATGGAAGGGGTTAAAAGTATTCTTAGTTTGTTCTTTCCTGTAAAAGAAAAACTCATTGCTACTTTATCTCAGTCATGGGAAGTCATCACCTGTAAACAAAAACAAAAAAACAGAATTACACGCATCTCACAAAATTCTTTGCATGAAATCATTTCACTTCTTCTGTACATGTGTACTTTGGTAAAGGTTATCTAGAGTCTATCTGATTATTCTGGAGGAAATTGAACAGGCTGAAAGAGGAGGGCTTATCAGCAGGAAAATAATCATGAGAAATGAACAACAGAAGTGAGGGCAAGGATTAGCACCCTACCACAAGAATGATTTTATTTTCTCATTGCTTATGTCCCACCTTTGGAAGTTGACTGGGATTGGGGAACTGGAGTAGATCTCTGAAACATACATTAATTCAGAATAGAAGTTTCAGATACAATAACAAACCACAATACACACACACACGCACACAGATAGTTATAAGCTGCTCAGAGGGGGTAAATCCAATAAATCCAACAAACAAACAAATGTTAATAAATAAATGTCTGAATGTGGCCTCTCTGTTTGCATGTGTATGCTTGTTTACTGTAAATGTTTCTGGATTTTTTTTTCTAAAGGACAGTTCAGAACCTTGAAATCTCATTGTGACCATCTCCCCCCCCCCCCCCCCCCCGGGTGTGTGTTTTAAGGAAGGGAATATTAATACCAAATAAGACCTTTTCCCATCCCTTTAGCACAGATTATATGAAGTATCTTGAAAAAACAAATAACCCAATAAAAGTCAAATGTGTCCTTTCTGATCACAGTAAAAAGACACAGACCAGCCCTTTAAATCAGATACTGTAAGCTGACCTTTGGGGGAAAAGAAGAGATTTGAGTCATTTTCCATGGATGCTAAGGGCCTAGAAAATCCATCTACAAAAGACTGGCGAAGGACTGCTGCCTTTTTGTGATCTCAAAATGTCCATAACGACACTTTGATTCACAGATGTCTTCTCTCTGGGCGTTCCAGATCTGGGGTCAGAAATGTA